GCCAGCGTATCTAGCACTGCCATGGCACGGCAGCAAGCCCGCGTGCCAGCCCAGCTGCCTCGGGGCAAAGGGGAAGGAGCAGCCTTTCCGAGGTACCACGTGTGCATCTCCATCCGCACCAAGATGCTGCTGTTTTATACACCGGCCTCTCCCTCCGGCCCCAAGGTCTGACCCCAGCTCACCGGGGTGAATGCGACGGCTTCCACCTTGGGAGGTGCTGGGCTGAGCTCCCGGCAACCTCAGCCACCCACGTTTCATTTATAGCTACCCAAAAAGCTACCAAGAGCGGCCCAAAGCCACCCCGGATAGTTGATCTGTGGTCCGATCACCACCCTAAGGACCTGAGTAAGGGAAGCTGAGAGCTGTTCTCGGAAATTCCTGCGCCTTTTTTACCCATAATGCCAAAAAAAGGGGACAGCGATGCCAACTATTTCTGCCGCCCGCCCTCATCTACGGAGCGGGGAGATGGAGGACCCGGCCAAGGCGCGCAGAAATCATTTTCTCCTGGCAAAGCTGCCGACTCAAGGAGAAACATAAAACCCTCGATGAAGGGCTTGTCTAGTTTATTATAACATCGGCTTTAATTTATGCGCCTGCCTTTTATGATTGTTCTCTATCACTGTTCCTGGGGCTTATTTATAGAGGGCCATTAGCAGAGAGAGCAAGCCCTGATGAGCGAGCATTCGCAGCGGCTGCCAGGGGACCGGGGATATAAACCGAGGCGAGGAGGAGGAGGCGGCGAGCTCCCGCGTGGGGCTGCCGCGAGCCCTCTCCCCGAAAGCCGAGAAGGATAATTTGATCTCGGAGCGCGATACAACTCCGTTGCACGCGGCTCTCTTCGGGCAGGCTGCAGCTTCGCTAAATTCCCTCGCCCCAAACGAACTCGCAGCTTCAGCAGGGAGGAGGGGGCAGAGAGTTTCGGATCTGACCGTCCACAGCAAGCAGGAAGAGGGTAAGGATGCAGGCAAAAGCACGGGATACATCCCTGCCCGGGCATCCCAGCCCCACGTGCTCATCCCATGGAATCGATAAGGTTGGAAAAGACCTCTAAGATCATCAAGTCCAACCATCACCCCAACACCACCACGTCCTGAAACGTCCCGTTCCACCTAAAAGCGCAACGCTTCGAGGGCTGCGCAGACGCCCCGTGATACGCAAGAGACCTGGGGGTACCTGAACCTTCACGCCACGGAATTCTTCCCGTTTACAAACACCGCTCTCCCATCTCCAGTGCAACCCAGACAGGCGATCCTACGGCGCTAATTAAAAGCGCACCCACCGAAACGACAGGTTAATTACCGGCACGGGCAGGGCCCAGCCCACCCCCAAAACACCTATGTGCACGGAGAAATACATCGGTTCAAGCCACAGCTAAGCGGGTAGGTGGGTCTGCTGGCAGGTAGAGATGATGTAAAGTGAATTTGTACGATCAAAGCCTTCCCATGCAGTTTGCAGGTAATTTGTGACGAGAACAAAAGCTTTAAACTCATCCACTAAATTATTCACTGCAAATCGTCCTCTCGGCTCCCGCGCCTGTGTCCTTCAAGCTGTTTTAGGTGGTGATTACATCCCCTCGGCGCAGGGGGAGGCCTCGGGGAAGCGGCAAAGGGAGAGACGGAGCTGCCGATCCGACACCGGCAGTTTGATTTACAGAGAGAACCAGCGACAGGAGACAGCCACCCTCAGGAAAAAAAGAAACTTCAAGCTCTAACCATCCCATCAAGGAGGTTTCTGGGTTCTTCATGTGGTTTCTTTTTTTTTTTCCTTTCTTTTTTCTCAACAAACTCCCACTGCAGGCAGAATAGATGATGCTACATTATTTTGGAATGTGCTGAGAATGCCCTGCTTGGCCAACCGAAGCCTCATAAATCATTCCTCTCCCCCCATCCCCTTTCCCGTTCTTGATCTCTCTTTCAAGCGGGATAATGCCAACTTGCCCTGGCACTGCCCAGACACGCCGCCGGAGCCAGACCTGCTGCCGAGGGGACCAGACCACGCGACTGGGAGAGATGCCTGGCACCGAAACGGAGCTGCTCGGGCTGCTAACGAGGTCGCTGCCTCCCCGCAAGCAGTTCCTGAGCCCACCTCGGGGCAAGGAAGCCCACACCTGGCCAGGAGCGGCCGCGCCGGCGTTGGAGCCGGGCGTTGCTCCAGCTCACCACCCCATACCCATCTGCCAACGGCAGCTCAGCACTTGTTGCTCTGCCGCCCTTCCTCCAGAGTCCCTCCACATGGGTACGGCATCCTCCAGAACTAAGGTTCATCAACGGCTTCTGGAAGAGCCGGGCTCGCATCAGGCATGGGCCGACCTCATCTGACCAGCTCTGGGGTCAGCTGGAGCACAACTGGCTACCCTCGCTCCAACACCAGCAGGCTCTGGCTGGAGAAAGCAACCCCACGCACGACTCAAAGGGATGGGAGATGTGGTTGCATCCACGTGCCGGACACTCAAACATCACTCCTGATGGAGCTGGTGATGAGGACCAAGTTTCCCTTTTCTGGCTCCCTCCGAAGCAGGGGGAGATGCTTGTGAAGGAGCTGGCAGCGCAGAGAGGGCCAG